ATTTTTATTATTTATCTTAATTAGATGAAACTTCTTAAGAATTATTTAAAACATACGTAATTTCTTTACCTGATAGTCATCCGATTTGGACTTTTGTTCAACATATTCAGTGTTTTCTTTTCATTTATCCTTAATTGTACATCTAGAAATTCATTGCAGCTGGCTATCATTGCAACCTATAAAATTTAGGCATTTGTCCATTTAATGTTTTTTACTTTTCTCTCATCATCATTCTCCAAATTTATTTACTTTCTGCTGCCTTGGACTATCATAGTTTTATTAATTAACAGAGTTAAGAACCTGCTTTATATAATTTTCTTCTTTAAGGATTCATTCATTCACTAACAAAGGCTTATAAACACTTGTTATATAGCAAACTTCATGGCATATAATGTTATTAGACATTATATACCAGTAAGATTGTAAAGATTAACAAGATAAGTTTTTCTGTATTCAGCCTAAGGCTTCCTATATAGTAATATATAAGCAATATAAGAACTCAGTAAACACTGTATTGTTCTTAATTGTAATGCTCAATAAATGTAAACTGCTGCCATCTCTCCTATTCCTACTTTTTTTTTTGGTATCGGGGATTGAACTCGGGACCTTGTGCTTGTGAGTCAGGTGGTGGAACCACTGAGCTAAATCCATAGCACTCCTACTATTTGTTCTTCTTTAGTTTGCAAATCATTATTCCAATTATTTGGTACTGGAAATTATTTAGTAATTCTTCAGATATTAAGAAATGTTGGCATGGAGGGGGCTGCTGGGTCAGCATCCCACAGCTCCCAGGGCAGAGGAGGCTTCCAGGCCAACCTACCACTGCTCCCAGCACAGAGGAGGTAAGCCAAGCAGGCGCCAGCAGCATACCCACCCCCCACCACCACCCCCCGTCGAAATGAGAAGACAGATAAACAAGCCTCAGAACCAGACTTCCAGATCACCTACAGCAACCCCAAAGGGAAACGAGATGGAACACTTTGATACTCAACCACCTGGACTCAATGAACTAGCAATGAAAGAGGATCTGGAAAAAATGAAATCAGAGATAATTTCTCACATAGAAGCAGAGATTGTGCCCATAGTGGAAGACATGATTAATACATCTAGAGAGGACACAGATAAAAAAATAGAGGAGCTGAGGAACATGATGGAATCCCAACATGGGAAACAAATGGAGGCTATAAAACAGATGCAAACAGATTTCCAGGAGATTAAAAACCCCACTGAAAGTTTACGCAGCACAATGAGCCAATGTGAAGACAGAATTTCAGATATGGAAGATAAGATTGCAATTAGTGACCAGGAAAAGAAAAATTGCTTCAAAATTATAAGGCACCACGAGAAATCAATCCAGCAGCTGCTAGATGATGCAAAGAAGAACATAAGACTGATCGGAGACAATGAAGATATAGGAGAGAGTGCAGATGACATTAAAAAACTGTTTACAGAAGTGATGGCAGAAAACTTCCCAAGCAGGGAAAAAGAACTTGATATACAGATAAGTGAGGCATATAGGACTCCAACTAGCCTTGATCAAAAACAATGTACACATAGGCATATAATAGTTAGGATTCCAGAAACTCAACAGAAGAACAAAGTGCTACAAGCAGTTAGAGAAAAGAAACAAATCACATACAAAGGAAAGCAGACTTCTCAACATAAACCCTCAAGGCAAGAAGACGTTGGAGAGACATATTTCAAGCCCTAAAGGAAGACCTCCAACCCAGATTGATGTACCCTGCAAAACTATCTTTCAAAATTGATGGTGAAACAGGATACTTTCATGACAAAGAGCACCTTAGGAACTTCATGAATACCAAACCAGCACTCCAAAAAATTTTAGACAATATCCTAGGAAAAGACAAGG